CCACCATGCCCACGGGGCATGGCGGGGCCCGGAGGGGCTGGTGTTTCAAGGGGATACTTTTTAAACCGTTTATGATTTGCCTATTTGTAAATACTTAATCCAGTAATTAATATTTTCGGAATGAGCTTGCACCTTGTCTGGAAACCTATACAAATACTTGATTTGAATATCATTCACTCCAAAGAATTAACCGTGATAACCCTCCGACCGACGGCCAGTAATTCATAAATATTTTTTAATTTTTTAACATAAACCATATGACACTTTTTGGAACTATTAGAAGGCCGACCTCCTCTCATAATATAGTGGCAAGAACTCGGCGGGTCACGTGCCCTGACAGTTATGCAGGACGTATGACGGAGCTTAGGTAAATAAATCACATAGCATACTTATAAAACTGCCAAAAAGAGTTACCTTTCTTTCGATGGTGCCAGCATGTGTTTCTTACAATACGTCCATTTATTACCTGATAACGGACAAAAGACAGCTATATATTATAAAAGCTTCTTAACCGCACATAATAGATCGTGAGTTTTTATCTTATAACATTTGGACTTAAGTGCAAGATCTGGCCTAACGGCTCAGGCAGTTGGCATTAGAGTATTTTTGGGTTATGTGTATGGTTCCAATCACTGGCGACACGGTTGACAGCAATGGCTTATGTTGAAGGAATGAAGCAACGCGTCTCATCTTTAAAGACATGCATAAACGAATTATTTAAGCTCCCAGTTTGTGGGGGATTAGCAACAGTCCGTCCGGAGAAAGAGGCTGGATTCGTTAATTTAGGTATTCTTAAATAATTACGTTCTCTCAGAGGTCGCGTTCCTGATTGGGGATAGCAAGTGCGATTGAAGCAGCCGTTGAAGATATCGTGTGTGTTCTGACCGTGGCGCTCTTTTTAGATTAGAAGTTGTCTAAACTATAGCAAACAATTCTCCATCTGATTGTTTGACCTACAACAAATGGTTAAAAGATTGAAAATACCCCAAACGAGGTTGGCCTAATCCGATCGAGCTTCAGGACACAATTTTTACTTGTTGTTGGTCATTTAGCCACATACTCGCCCGAATGTAGATTTGTATCACAAATGTTTCCGCTGGAAACGCTAATATGACGAACAGTTTCCTGTCTTTTTCGGTAGTATCGCCAACTTCCTTTCGCTTATACCTATTTTCTTCCATCGTTGATATTGCTATTAATAATTTTGTTGATGTAAATATTTAATTTGGATGATACTGACCTACGAAACCCAAGAGACATTCTACTTGTGACTTCTTATTTTTTGTCGGTTTGCCTTTTGCACCCTGTTATTTAATGACTTATCACAGAAGATAACTGATCTAAATAACACTACTTCTACCGTCAGAAGTTCGAGTTAAACGTTTTTTCATTTCCAAAGACTAGAATATAAATGTTGTTTCTGGGTAGTCGTCTTAAGTATGCAGTTTAAATCGTCTCGAGTATTATCAGTGGATGACATGCCCCTAGTTTTATCAAAGACTTAGAGTCCCAGCGGACTGAAAAAACCCCTGAAATTCGATCGTCCGAAACGAACAACAACATCAACTTAACTGGATATTACTCTTTACTCCTTAATGCTCGTCAGAATGCACATACTTTGTATTTCTGCCGGTGAAGCCGACAGCTACGACAAGAATATTTATTGCAGTATTGGAGGCACAAAATTAATTAATTAATTTGTTATATTTCTAGCAAACCAGAAGCTATGTTACTGATCTTATCTTACTGTTTGACATATCTGCCAGATGTTTGCCCCAACGATAACTACTATATTTGG